TAGCTGTAGAGGGCAGTGTCACTGGCCCTCATATGTGGGATCCGAACCAGGGCCCTCTGGTGTCCCAAGCCAGTTCTTAACCATCACGCCACTTGACCAGCCCTACAACTCTATCTTAAGTCAAGATCCTTCCTCAGAAATCAGAAGCCATTTATCTGCAATTCTTATAGAGGCATCATCTAGTGCAGTGATGAGAGTTTTGGTGGGAGGGTATCTCAAATAAGGTTGGAGGGTGGGACAGGTCTATACACATATGTGAGTGTACACACACACACACACACACACACACACAATCTATATTACTCAGGGCATAAGCCCTACTGTTTTTTCATATTACATAAAGTAGAATCTCCTTAGCAGGTAGGGTCTACTATCTATAAGATGTACTGATTTGGTTTGGGCATGTTGAAGAATGGTCATGGAACAGGAGAATTTCATGTGTATCAAAGGGCTCTATGGTTTAAAAAGGTTGAGAAAAACTTACCTAATCAATGCCAGATGGATGAGTTCCTCTGTGTTGAGGGCTCAGAGACTTACTCGTTCAGGGGATCTGTTTGATTAGACTCTGACAGGTAGACTCATAAGAACTAAACTAAGTGAGACGAGTGTAAACCAAAATGGCAGGGAATTAACTGAAACTCAATCTTTCAACTCTCCTGTGGTCTGGTGATCTAAGTCCATTCTGCCCCTGTGGGAAAGCTACCTTGGAAGCTAAATCATAATCAGAAAGGCTCTGTTAATCTTCTCTGAGGGAACACTGCCAAAGGAACCAAAGTTACTCCATGACCCAGTGCTCCGCACATTGTAGGTAGACTTATGTGGCAAAAGAATATGCTTGGTGAGCATGGGTTTAGACCAAGGACAGTTAGATAAGTCATGTTAATTGGCATAAGACTAAGATAGTTTATCATGTCCATTTCAAGATAGAAGTGACATGAATGGGACTCAAATACACATAGTCCATTGACAATAGCACCCCCCCATTCATCTCCACACTTGAAACAGCCTTGCAAGCAGGACTAGCAAGACCGTGTCTGATGACATGAGCCGCTCATTGTTGTGGGTGCTTAGACAGGCACAGTCAATGCTTATCTTTGTATTCTTCTGTGTTCCCTTGTTTATTCTCTCTTCTGATTGAAACATTCTTCCTTTCACCAAATTAAAATACAAAAGAATCTACCTCTTGGGTCCTTTTTTTTTTTGTACTTTTTAAAGATTTTTGTTAAAATATAGCTAACATACAATATTATATTAGTTTCAGGTGTACACAATAGTTACTTAACATTTATATACCTGAAGAAGTGATCACCATGATAAGTCCAGCAACCGTCTGACATGGTACCATGCTATCACAATATTAGGGACTGCATTCCTTATGTTATACATTACATCCCCATGACTTACTTGTTTTATACCTGGATTTTTGGACCACTTATTCCCCTTCCCCTCTTCCCCCTTTTTAAAATTTATCAATTACAGTTGACATTCAATGTTATTTTATATTAATTTCAGGTGTACAGCATAGTGGTTAGACATTTATATAATTTAAGAAGTGATCCCCCTGACTAGCACCCACCTGGACTACCCACAGCTATTACCACATTATTGACTATATTCCCTGTGCTTTACGTCCCCATGACCATTTTGTAGTTACTAGTTTGTACTTCT